TTTATAATCATTTTACAATGTTGTGTCCAATTCCAGTGTTCAGCACAATTTTTCAGTCATTCATGGACATATACACACTCATTGTCATTTTTTTCTCTGTGATTTATCATAACATTTTGTGTATATTTCCCTGTGCTATACAGTGTAATCTTGTTTATCTATTCTGCAATTTTGAAATCCCAGTCTATCCCTTCCCACCCTCTACCCCCCTGGTAACCACAAGTCTGTATTCTCTGTCCATGAGTCTTTAGATTCCACATATGAGCGATCTCATACGGTATTTTTCCTTCTCTTTCTGGCTTACTTCACTTAGAATGACATTCTCTAGGAGCATCCATGTGGTATCACACTGAGGTTTTAATTTTTTTCTTGCCATTTTTGTTATTTTCCTTTGTGACAACAGAGAAAGTCATTGTTTATCCCAGGATCATCATTATTATTTTAGACATTTATAATTTTATATATTTTTAGTCAACTTTTTTGTCCCGTCTAAGTAATTTTGTATATAGTGTGATGTATAAATCTAATTTTTCCCCTAAATTGGTAGCCAGTTCTTCCAACACCATTTACTGAATAGTTTATCTTTTCTCCACTGGCTTGAAATTCTATCATTATGATATATTGTGGTTTTCTATAGTCTATTTCTAGACCATTGTTCCATTGGCATATTTGTCTTGTTCTTGCATGTATATTTCACAATTTTAAAAGAAATGATAAAAGTCCTTATGCAATTAGAAAAAAGCCAGAAGAAAATGCATTAAAATCTTCATGGTGGGTATTAGAATCTGTGGGTGATTTTAATTTCTTTTCATCTGTGCTGTCCACATTTTGTACAGCATGCAAAGTACACTTGTGTAAAGTGGGAAATTACTTCCCCTTTGTCTATGGTTTAGAGACTTCTTGTCCTGGGCCAACAGGACACAGGTTGAGCATTTTATTTTGGGTCTCTATGACAATAAGGATAATCAAGATTTTGTTGTTGTTGGCAACGTGTTTTGGGGACACATAAGCTACTACACTATGATTTTTGACTTAGCAGGAAGGGGGAAGCTTCCAGTTTCTCCTGCCAGGCATGATTCCTCTCCCTCTGACTGTGTTCTCTCTGCCTCATGGTGGTTGCCAGGCAAGCAGCTCTCTTCTCACGCACAGTGGGGCCACAGGAGTGACGTGTGAGGTGACAGTGAGCAGAGCAGGGATTTAGCAAAGGGGAAGATCTAAACAAAACTGGAGGAAGAATTTGGTTAAAATGCCAACACCAGCTTCTTGGTGATTGGCTGGAAAATCTGGCATTTCACTGTTGGTATATATGAAGGGGAATGAATTCATTTTCCAAATCATTTTGAGTTGAGCACAAGTCTTAGAAAATCTTGTTTGAGCCTTTAAGACAAACCAAACTTGTATGTCTTCATTCAATAACCATGCCCTGATAAATTACTACATGTCAGACAGCATTGTGATTGCTGAGGATAAGTAGTGAATAAAAAAAGACAAATCCCTGCCCTCAAGGAGCTCATGGTCCAGCCAATTGTTCCTGGTCACCAGCTAGATAGGAAGGGTGGTAACCCATCACCATTCTCATTGGGTATCTAGGAAACTGGGGGACCAGGCAGGTGTCCCTCAGCACCGTGGGACAGTGGCCAGGGTGAGCCCTGGCTCCCAGCCCCACTGAGTGCACTCACCTCTCTCACTCAGATAATCTTCTTTCAGACCAGACCTCACCTGCCACACACGGCTGCCCTGCTGAGCAGCTGCATGGACGGCGACATCTATGCCTGGTCCATCCACGGCAGTGGAGGCCTGCTGGGGAAGTTCCCTGTGGACTTTGAAGAGAAAAGGGACGTGGTTGTGGGCGCCATGGCCACTGAGAAGACGACTGGATTCTTGTCACAGGGAATTGTCAGGGACACATCAAGGTGAGGAGGAACTGGTGTCGAGATTGAGGGGCTGACAGCAGCCCAGCTCTGGCCACCTCTTTGCCATATGTGGCCCTCGCCTAGTCCCTATGCCTTCTGGGTGCTGGTTTCACTTGTAAAACAGTGGGCAGTAGGGTGGGTTGCCTTAGAAGTTCTCTCCTGCTCTCATGGGCCCAGTGAAATGAGTGAGGGCTTGGTCAGGAGGCCCCCCTGCCCAGAAGTCTTCCCCAGTGGGTCCTGTGCTCCATCTTTCTCTTCCCACAACTCCCTCCGCTTCCCCCCTAGCCACGCATCTAATCTGCGATCAGGAACTGATTTTGTGCTTTGTGATGACATGAGGCAAGGTTGTCCTATCCTTGTCTCAGTCACACTCTCTGTGCAAGCTAGCTAAGGGCCTGGCCTAGAAGATCCCTTGGGCCCCTTTGGCCCTGAGTGTCTGGGTACTTAAGAGGGATGAGTAAGACCTATGCCCCTAAAGTGAAGAGAAATAGTCTGGGAGGGGCCCGCAGATTGAGCTGGTGTTGGGATCAGGAAGTGCTGGGCCACTAATCCACACTTTGTGCTTAGATCTGGGACATCAAGGATTACTGCACATTTTCCGACAAGCAACCAACCCATCCCAGTAGAACAAATGGGTTTCAGTTCTTAATTCCACAGATTCAGACCAGCCTCCCATACAACATTCCATCGGAGGAGGAGAAGGTAGGAAGATTATTGAAAGGTTGCTCAGAAAAGTGCCTTTGAGCCTCACAAACAAGCTAGACCATGGTTACTTTACTGAGACTCTGAATCTTTCATGTGTCCTGTTCAAAGTTATCTGGTTGAGGTGGAAATGTTTCTGTTAACCAGAAGTCACCATTAACCAGTAATACACAAGTATGCAGATACCAAATATACCCATATGCGTACACATGTACACACACACTCACTCACACACACACACACACACACTTTCCAGGGGTTTTGATCTTTGTAATAAAGGCCCTAGAATCATGAATTCTTTTTAAAAATAATGAAAATATGTATGTATTTTCTTGAGTAGGTAACACATTTCCATAGCTCAAAAATCAGTTGATTTTTCTCCTGTGACTAATGAAGATGAGCAAATATCTCTTTGTTAGTTGTCTGGAAAAAGCAAATTGAAGCCACAATGTTATACCACTATACACCTAGCAGAATGAAATTAAAAAGACAGGCAATACCAAATGTTGGCAAGGATATAGATCAACTGGTGATGAAATGGTCTAAAATTGATGATGATGGTTGCAAACTCCGTGAATATACTAATACACCATTGGAGGGAGCACTTTAAATGGGTAAATTGTATGTGAATTGTATTTCAATAGAGCTGTGTTTAAAAGAAATAGAAACGATAGAGCAAATATTCTTTTTCACAGATCTTTGTAATTGTTTATGTAATTTATCCCAAGGAAGTAGTATTTAAAAGAACATAAACCTCTAAGGTCTTTAACGTGTACTGCCAAACCACATTCCGGAAAGTTTATACAGTTTTGCACTTTATTAGTCTGTTTTGCTTTAATCCTTGACAACATAAGGTTTTTATTATTAGCTTTATTTTTCTGAGCGAGCATCCCCTGAGTCTATCAGAGTGCCTTGTTAATAGTATCCATTCAATAAATAAACGTTTAAAGTGAAAAAAAAACTTCGGGCCAATTTTTAGATATAGTTTCTTTTGATTTTAATTAAGATATCATTGCTTATTAGTGATGTTGACATCTTTCCTTATTTTATTGGCCATATATAATTTTGTGTTGCTTCTTCATGTCCTTTGCCCATTTTTCTATTGTGGTAACCATCTTTTATAAATGATGTATAATCAGTTTAAAATATATTAAAAGATATTAACTCATTGCCTGTCATATATCTTATAAATATTTTCCCCAATTTGTCATTTGTCTTTTAATTTCACTCATGATGGTTTTTAAGTTACAGTATATTTTTATGACTAAGTCAATTTTTCCTCCCATTGTGATATTTCTCGTTGCCTATCACTTTCTTATTCAGAAATAACTAGTCACTCATACTTTCTTTTAGATGTTTAGTGGTGTCATTAAAAAGAATTCTTCGACCTTTCTCATGTTTATTCAGTTGTAAGATAATGATTTAAGTTTCACTACATGGTTTATCAGAAATTTCAGTACTGTTGATTGAGTCCTGCTCTCTATTTACCATCAGTTTTCCTACCATTCAATCATCTAGCAGTGTTTTAAATATATATTTGTGTTGGTTCCTGAGCTATTGTCTTCCATTGTTCTGTTTAGTTGTCATTATTATTTATTTTATTTTTTATTGAAGTGTTGTTGATTTACAATGTTGGTTTGAGGTGTTCAGCAAAATGATTCAGTTATCATATGCATACTACACATATTTTTTTTCAGATTCTTTTCCATTATAGCTTATTATCATTTCTATTATTGTGACTTAACATATTTGAATATGGTAAAATATGTCCCCCTTCATTAATCTTGTTTTATTTAAAAATGGTCTTGGGTATTTGCACTCATTTTCCAGTTAAGTACAGTTTTATTCTCTCATAGTGCTATGTGATATATTCCCCCTTACTCACCCTGTTCTACTCCCGATGCCCAGCTGAGTAAAGAAGACACCCTGGGTTCTTGTCTACCCCGTTACTTTCTAGCTGTGTGGCTTTGGGCCAGTTACTAAACATCTCTGACTCTCATGTCTCTCTTCTGTGCGATGATGAGACTCATATACATCCTATAAGGTTGTTATGAAGGTCATCTGTATACAGACAGCTGCTAAACAACATAGCAATATGCAGTGCTTTTTATGATTTTACCAAAGAGGCCAGTGAGGACCAGAGAAGTGCAGGGACTTACCTAAGGGCACCAGAAAGTTCTTGTGGAAACGTGTATACTTGAACCCTGGCCCATGTCCCAAGGTCCTTTCAGAGGGCCCTGTTGCCTCTGGATGCCCTCTGAGGGGCCTGTGTCTTAGTATAATGAATTTTCCTGTACTGTCCCCTGTAGGTTGTGGCTGGCCAGACAATTTCTCTGGTTCCGCCCAAGCTTCTGATTACCTGGAAGGGCCATCTGGAGAGTGTGGCAGACATCCTGTATGTGGACAGCTTCCAGCTGATCATCAGTGCTGGCCAGGACCGGGACGTCAAGGCTTGGAAACTCTCTGGTGATGCCATTGGTATGGTCCTGCTGAAGTTCAGCTGTGCCTCTTGGCCCTTCCTGGCCCTGTCCCTAATGGAACATAAGCTGGCACAAACCTTACATCCTGTGGGGTTGGGGGTATCAGGCCATAGCAGCTATCTTTGGCCAAACATTATTACAAGATGTGAGTCTTTCCAGTTGTCCATTCAGTAGTCTGTCTATTCATCCATCAGCTGTCCATCCACTCATTCACTCACTCACCCAACAGTATTTGCCTTTGTATATCAAATCATATATCTGATAAAGTATATTCCGTTCTCTTTTTAAAAATAAACTTAATTGTTGTGTTATAACATACATAAAGAAAAGCACGTAAACCAAAAGGGTTCAGCTTGGGGAATTTTCAGAAAGTAAACATATTACCTTAGAGCCACCATCATATCAAGAAACAGAACATTACCAGCACTCAGGGCTCCCCTCATCCCCCAGCCCGACCATTTCTACCTCCTCCTCTCCAAAAGTAAGCACTGTTCTGATTTCTAAATCCAAAGATTAGGTTTGTCTGGCTTTGAACTTTGTATAGTGGAATCATGTGACAGTTTCTCCTTTGTGTCTGGATTCATGCTCTCAAACACCATTGTGTTTGTGCAGTTCAGCCATTTGTTGGCTGTTCATTCATCCTCATTGCTGCTAATATTATATTGTTGATACATCGTAATTTATTTATCTGTGCTACTGTTGGTGGGCTTTGGGGCTATTTCAGGCTATTAAAAATAGCACTGCTATGAACATTCTTATACATATTTTTTTGGTGAACAAGTGTATGCATTTCTGTTGGGTATATATCTAAGAATGGAATTGCTGAACCCCAGTGTATGCACATTAAGTCTCAGTAGATACTGCTAAACAGTCTTTCAGAGCAGTTATCAACTTGTCCTTTTTCACCACCAGTGTAGAGCAACTCTTACTGTCCCATAGTTGTGTCAACACTTGGTATGTCAGTGCTTTGAATTTTAGCCATTTTGATAGATACATAGTGACATTTCATTGTGGCTTTTAATTTGCATTTCCTTATGGGTAAGTAGTGCAGTTGAGCATCTGTTTATGTATATATTATTGATCACTTGGCTGTATTTTTTTAAGTGCTTGTTCAGATATTTTGCTCGTTTTTCTATCAAGCTGTTTTGCTCTTTTGGATTTATAGGAGTTATTCATATTTTCTGGATATGAGTCCTTTGACAATTCTATGTTTTATAGCTGTCTCCTTCCACTTCGGTTTTTATTCTCAGGAATGTCTTTTGATGAACAGAAGTTCTTAATTTTAATGTTATCCATGTTATCAATCTCATCCTTTATGGTTTGTGCCTTTTATATCTCGCCCCTTCCCCCCATACTGGGTCAAATCTTTTTTTATTATGGTAAAAAACAAATTACATGAAATCTACTGATTCAACAATTCCAATTCTGGGCATACATCCAAAGGAAATGAAATCATTGTTTCAAAGAGATACTTGCACCTCCATGTTCATTGCAACATTATTTATAAGATCCAAGACATGGAATTGAGCTAAGTGTACAACAATGGGTGAGTGGATAAAAAAATGTGACATATATGTGATGTGTATAATATATATGTTATATGTAACATATATGATTTATATGTGTATATATACACATACACATAATGGAATATTATTCAGCCATAAAAAGAAGGAAATCTTGCCATTTGCAACAACAGGAAGGTATTATGCTAAGTGAAATAATTCAGACAGAGAAATAAAAGTGTTACATGATCTCACTTATTTGTGGAATCCAAAGGAACCAAACTCATCAAAACAGAGTAGATTGGTAGTTACCAAGGGCAAGAGGTGGCATGGGGGAAGTGGATGAGGGTGGCCAAGGGGAACACAAACTTCCAGTCATAAGATGACTAAGTCCTGGGCATCTAATGTACACCATGCAGTTAAGAATACTATATATATATATCATATACTTGACAGTTACTAAGGAATTATATCTTAGAGTTCTCTCCACACACACACACACACACACACACACACACACACACACACACACACACACACAAAGTTACCTATGAGAGGTGATGGATGTGTTAACTAACCTTATTGTGGTAATCATTTTGCAGTATGTACATATATCCAATCATCATGTTGTACACCTTAAACCTAACACAATGTTATATGCAATTATATCTCAGTAGTGCTGGGGGAAGATCATGAAATCTACTCTCTAAACAGAATTGTAAGTGCACATGCAGTGTTGTTAACTATAATGTACTTTGTTGTACAGCAGCTCTCTAGAACTTAATCATCTTGCGTAACTGAAACTCCATACACATTGGACAACTTCCCATATTCCACTCCCCTCAGGTCCTGGCACCTACCATTCTACTCTCTGCATCTATGAGAACATTATCGCTTCATTATTTTTTTTGCCCATTTTGTCTCTCCTCTCACTGTGGGATTCCAATTACATGTATTTTAGAGCATTTGGCTTTGTCCTATACGTCTCTCATGCTCTATTCTGTTCTTTCCATTTTTTCTATCTCTGCCTTACAGTTTGGATCTTTTCACTGACCTGCCTTCCAGTTCATTAATCCTATCTTCTTCTGTATGCAGCCTGCTATTAAATCCATCCAATTGATTCTTAATTTCAGATATTGTATTTTGTAGTTCTAGAATACCCATTTCATTTTTTCCCTATAGATTTCAAGTCACTGTTGAAATTATCCTTTTCTTCCATTTTGTTCATATTTTCCTCCATTTAACATTATTTATAATAGTTATTTAAAGTGTTATCTGAATTATCTGTGGCTCTCATTCTAATACCGATCTCTTCTTTTGATTATTGGTTATATTTTCCTACCTTTTCACATGTCACATATAGAAACACTCCCAATAAAACAAAACAAAACCCAAACCAAACCAAACCAAACTAAACCAAACTTTTTGGAATTGTAAAGTCTGAGGTTGATGTGATTTTCCTACAGTATACTTGCTCTTTCCTTTGTATTGGGCATCTCAACTCAAGGCAGTTAGGAAGTAAGCTGGTTGGGGCTGGACTACAGCTTTAAGAGACTCAGTTTACTTGTGTTCATTTGACTCAAGGGTGAAGTATTTCATGTTTGTTGTCAGCTTATTCCTTCAGTGGGATTCTGTCTCCCTATGATCTCACTCTGTCTTTCTAGCCCCCGGAACTTCAGCTTGCACAGTGCTTAGCAAATGTCCTGGAGGGAAAAACAGCTATGCCTTTGGGACTCCCTCAGACTTAATCCATCATGCCAGCCAGATTGGCTGTCAGAAGCTCTCCTGGCTTCCTTGCCTTCCTTGCTTACTTCTACTAAGCTGAGCCTGGTTCTCATTCAGCCTGTGCCCAGACTCAGAAAATGCCCCCAGAGAAGAAAGCAGCTTCCAATTTCAGTTCTTGGAAGGACTCTTTCCTTTCTGCAATCTTAGTTAATCTAGTCTCCTCTCCTTTTTACAGCTTTCCAGTGATTTTTTTAATACACCTTTTAAAGGTTACTTTCCATTTTTACAAAATATTGGCTACATTCCCCATGTTGTACAATACATCCTTGAGTCTAGCTTACACCCAATATTTTGTACCTTCCACTCCCCTACCCCCCTATTGCCCCTCCCCTATGTCCCCACTTGGACCCACTAGTTTGTTCTCTGTATCTGTGAGTCTACTTCTTTGTTGTTACATTCACTAGTTTGTTGTATTTTTGATTCCACATATAAGTAATATAAGTAATATAAGTAATAAAAAGACAGTATTTGTCTTTACAAATAATGAATGATGCCTCCAAGTCCATCCAGTTGCCCCAAATGGCAAAATTTTGTTCTTTTTTATGGCTGAGTGGTATTCCGTTGTGCATGTGGTACGTGTGTGTACACACACACACACACACACACACACACATTGATGGACACTTGGGTTGCTTCCATTTCTTGGCATTTATAAATAATGCTCCTATGAACATTGGGGTGCATGTATCTTTTCAAATTAGTGTTTTTACTTTTTTCAGATTATACCCAGGAGTGGAATTGCTGGATCATGTGGTAGTTCTATTTTCAGATTTTTGAGACACCTCCATGCTGTTTTCCATAGTGGCTGCACAATTTACATTCCCACAAATAGTGTATAAGGGTTCCCTTTTCTCCACATCCTCACCAACATTTATCTGTGTTGTTTTTGATAGCCATTCTGACAGGTGTGAGGTGATAACTCACGGTTCTACAGTAATTTTTTAAAATGTGACTTTGTAACATTTATGTTTTGTTTTTCTTAATTAAAATGAATTCAGGAGAATGGCCTACGACTCACTCTACCCTGTCCAAAGGATGCGTGCTTCTCTATTCTCACTATTTAATTTCTAGTCCAGCCCCATTCCTCCCCAGACTCACTCCTAACCTCACATAGAGGATAGACGCCTGATCATTTTGTGCTATTGCCATTTTATACATGAACCACTTAAAGCCCAAATGAGGACCATTCAGTCACTGCCATGGTACTCTTTCCATCTTAGCCTGCATGTGGGGAAGGATGCTTTAGGCCTGAGCTCCAAGTATATCCTAGGGCCAGTGTCTGATTCCTGCAGGTATTTGCTGAGTAGCTAGCATAATGCCTGGCATGTGGTGGGCATAATAAGGTGTAGGCCAGGGGTTAGGGGTTGCTGGCTACTTCTTGTGGGCGGATGGTGAGGGGCAGAGGGTTCAGCGGAGGGGCGTTGGCCAGTCCTTGTTACTGAACTGGATCTGGTTAAATCACAGGGACGTTTGGCCTCAGTGTTTGGAAAACGCTGCAGGATGCCCCGACAATCAGTGATCAGGAACTGAAAAAAAGCTCAAAGGAGGAGGGTGACTTCATAGGCGCTACCCAGAAGGCCTTCCATCTAGATCTGCAGTGAGTTATCACAGCCCACTGGGCAACTCTGGCCTGAGGAGGGGGATGCTGGAAGCCTCCCCAGACCCCAGGCAGCCTCACTTGGATTGGGTAGTGCTGGGCATATTCGGGAAGAGCTCTCAGAAGGCCAAAGGCCTGTGGCCTGTAGGCAACTTGACTCTGCAGGTGGCAGCCGTGGCCTAGGAGCTTGAGGCTCTGTTCTAGCCCAGATCAGCTGAAAGACTGAGCAGTACATATCAGAAATATAAAAACCCAATTTCTTAGATGGGACCTTGCCCCAGAGTCAGGTTCAGATTTGCCAGGGCTGGCTTCCCTGCAGAGGCCACTTCCATGTGGCTAGAGGCCCCTGGCAGGAGAGTGCCCAGGGCTCTGGTCCTGAATGGACACTTGTGCTATTTCTCTGATTTGGGGGGGAGGCAGGTTGCTTGCTACTTGTTCTTTCCTCTGCAGGTTCCTCCTCTGTCCCTGCTCTACCCTTATTCCTGACCAAGTCTCGTATAAATTTGAGTCATTCAAAATATACTTATTGAGGTCCTGCTGACCACTAGGCCCTGTGCTAGTTTGAGAGCCAAAACAACCCAGACACAGGTCCTGCCTCAAAGAACTCGCAGTCCACTGCAAACCCATGGCTGCAGTTCTATGTGAAAAGTGATGAGACTGTTAAGAATAAGGATGGATTAGAGGACAATCACCTGATTGGTTGGACCAAGTAAGCAAGGCCTCACAGGAGAAGAGACTTTGAAGTTGGGTTTTGACATGTAAGTAGGAGTTTGCCAGGCACTCATAGAGTCCTTGTGGCACCTATGCTCTTATCAAGGCATATGTTTTTACCTTGGAAGGGGGATATCAAACAAGACAGAGGCTGGGTTTCCCTGGGAGGGAGAGGGTGTTTAAGTATTCTATAAGGGGAGGTCCGGGAAAAGTCAGGATGGAGTATCATGCCTCCATAGAAGAGGGCACTGGGTGGTGGGAAGGGTTGCAGGGCTTGTTGGGAGCCAGTGTAAGCAGAGCTTTGCTGGTGTTAACTGAACACTTGCTCAGTGATGGGCCCTGGGTTGTATGGCCTCAGGGGAGGGATGAGAGGGTTGGAGAGGATCAGGCCCAGAAGGGAGAGACCCTCCTGGCGTTCCTGGGAGGGCTGTCCGCCTTGTGGTGCCTAGGGCATCTTATGAAAGAAAGCCCCTCACATCAGGGAGGAGGAGCGGGATCTTGCTGAGGCCCTGATGTACCAGCGGCGGGAGCAGGTGGCCCTCATGTCTCTCCTGAATGGGAAGGCAGACACGGAGGCTGAGGCTTGAGCCAGACTGCAGAAGATAACCTTGATGTCCCCATGGGCTGGAGAGCGCTCCCCGGAAGACATTGAGAATAGCTGGCACAAGTGGGAGTGCAAGGGCAAGCAGGTGAGGGTAGGGGCACCCTCAACCCTCAGTCCTGAGCTTGTGCTCTTGCCCGGGACTCCTACAGGTGAGCAAAGTCATGGAGCAGCATACAAGCCCAAGGAGCGGACACGGAGTCCCGGCCTCCTGTTCACCAACGTGCAGTACGGCTGGATGAAGCCCCAGGTGAGGGGGGCGTGGGGGAGACTAGCTCCCTGGGATGCTGGGGGATCCCATCTCCATTGGCGGCCACCCTTGTACCCATATGGCCCTCCAGTGGGGTGAGGGGTGTATCCATCCATTCTGGGCCACAGACAGCTCTGGGATGAAGCTGATCTGGTTGGTTTGTCTGTCAAGGCCCTGGCTGAGGCCGTGGACACAGGTTTCATCGTTAAGGACAAACCTCCTTGGGTCTAAGGGAGGCGGTCCTCCGTGGACCCGGCACCTGTCCATCACCTTCAAAGCATTTCCCAGAGTCTGATTGTTTCTTTGTTAGCATGTTCACTGCTTGTGTCTCCATACTGCGGGCTGCTCTTGAGCAGACACAGGGCTTCCCGGTGCCAGGCACACAGTCAGTAAGAGACAGAAGGAATGGAAAGGAACCTTGTCCTTGGGGAGAGAAAGGAGCCAGGGGCTTTGGAAAGACCAGCTTTGGGTCCCATCCTGCCTCTTGCTTGGGTGGATCCCAGCCTCTCCTTCCTCATCTGCCTTAGGGGTGTTGCAGGATCTCCCTCGCTCTGTGGTGGGGACTCAGAATCAGTGAGATAACCTCTCTGTCCCAGGCCGGGGAGAGGTCAGTGCAGAGAAGGAACGCTCGGCATCCCTGCCCTTTCCTGGAGAGGAGCCTCAAAGCACAGCATGGCGAGTGCTAACAGGAGAGGTGGGGGCACGCCTGGAGAGCTCCTTGCACTGAGCCCCACTCAGGGTCCAGCTTGAGGCTTCACTTTAAGATGAGGACAGTCCAGTGCTGACCTCACAGGACTGTCACCAGCACCAAGAGGAGGGCTGGCTGCTGGGCCTGGCAGACAGTGGGCTCAGCAGGGAGTGGTCATCGGTGATAGCCACAGTATTCTGGAGGTTTCTTCTTTCTCATGGGAGACCTCAGGACCCAGCATCCCCATGAGCCTACCCTTGGTCTGCATGCCTCTGCACGTTCCCCTGCTCTGTTCCCCACAGATCTCACCTCAGATCTACCAGAGCCTGCACTTCAATGAACTGGTGCCCATCCATCAGCCTGACTTCGTGATGCACAAGGTCGCAGACCAGCAGGGCCGCCTTGCCCTCCTGGCAACCCAGCGCATCCAGAAAGACCTGGACCCCGGCAGGGAGATGGTGCCCGACAGCGCGGCCATCACCCCCACTGCCGTGGCCTCCTCTCCTGGCTCGCTCTCTCTGTCAGCCTCAGACTCCAGCTTCCTGGAGTCTGCCTTGTCCACCAGCCCCAGCCCCAGCACCCCCAGTCCTTGCTACAGCCTTTGTCAGCCCCCAAGCCCAGTCAGCCCCCGCAGTCCTAGTGCAGGTACCCTGGTACCTCCTGCAGAGGTCGGCGGCCCATGGGCCCGTCGCCTCTTCCCTCAAGCTGCTCTCCAGGCCTCTGAAGGCCAGCCTTTCATTCTTTGTGAAGAAGGACTCCCACATCAGGCTCTGAGGTGGCCCACTCCTCTCCCCAGGCCTCCAGCAGTGCCACCAGGCCCATGGGGTCCTATCTGTCCCTGGCTTACCCTGCCAGGTCCAGAAGATACAGACCTTCCCCTGGCTATCCTCACTCTGCCTGTCTGGTGAAGCTGACCCTCACCAGAATCCTAGAGAAGAAAATAAATGTTCTCAGATGTTGGAGTCCCACTGGCCTTGAGAGCAGGCTGTGTGTCCCTAGCCCCATCAGGCACCAGGCTGTGTCTCTGAGATGGGGTCACATTTTCCTGGCAAGACCCTGGGCAGATGCAAGGAGGAGAGCCCCTTCCCCAGGACACCTGGTGCTGCTGTTGCAGGGCCAGGCCGAAGCCCAGGGCCGGGCCTTCACAGGCCCTGTGGTGATGTGGTGGGTGGGTCGTGCCGCTGGGGTGAGCTGCTTGGTTCTGAAACTTGGCTCAGCTTCCTGGCAGGAGTGAGGTCAGCAGCCACCTGGAGCACGTAGTGGCTGTTTGTCTCCTGCGCCTGCTGGGTGTCTGTCCTCCTTCCCCGTCAGACACTCCTCCGTGGGGAATCTGTGTTTCCAGACTGTTCTTGAGCAAGAGAGGATGGGAAGTGTGTTGGGCAGCCCCCAGCCTGGCTCTGCCATTGTCTGGCTTGGGACTCCCCTGTTGTCTCTGGGTTCATTGTCCCCCACTGGCCCGGAGGCACTTGTCCAGACCTCTGCTGGGCCACCAGCCCTCTCAGCAGCTCCACACCCTGTTCTGGGGCATGTGGGGGCTCAGGACACACGACTTGCAGCCTGTGGAGAGCCAGAGCAGCCCCTGCTGTGCGCCACGCTGCCCGGGGGGTGGGGGTGGGGAGGGGTGCCTGGGGTGTCCTGGACCAGAGGGTGCAGACACTGATGGCCAGGGGCTGGCCGTGGGGGGCCTCTGAAGTGTGCGGGAGAGGAGCTCTGGGCTGTTTTCCCTTCAAAACCTTTTTTATTTCTTTTTACTTTAAGAGCTTTTAAAGACTATCAAATCTCCTCACTTCTCAGACATAATTCAAAAATTGCACTGAAAAGCAATTTTAAAAGGTTTCAGAAATTGGGATGTATCTCACAATTGATGAGCCCATTCAGTATATTATGTTGATACTGTATCTTGGAAAAGAAGCAAGACAGTGAAACCAATCCTGCTGGGGAGGGAGCGCCCCCTGGTGGACTGAGCTCCTGTCACAGCCCAGCCCCCTTCAGAGATGCAAGAGAGCGGATTCCTTTCCTGGAGAGAAGTTGGGCTTGTGGAGGAGATTGAAGGTGAGTGGGGAACGTCTAGTACTTCTTTTTCGAGCCTGTTTGGGGTGGGACAGGGGGATGACACAACCTTCCAATTTGTCAGATATTTTACACACATTTTTCTCACAGAGTTTCTATGAGGTAGGTCATCTATCCCCATTTTACAGATGGAGAAAACTGAGGCTCAAAAAGAATGATGACTTGCCTGGAGTCCCCCAGCCAGGAAACGTCAGAGCTAGGATTCCAACCAGGGACGTCAGGTGTTTCTGCCTCTTCCTGGCTGAGATACTCAGGATTTGGGGGTGCTCCATTTGAACATTGGAGACAGAAAAGTTGTGGGAAGATTCCTTGTGACAGGAAACCCCCACATCCTGTAACAGGCAAGGTCAAAGGCCAGGGAAATGGGAGTGTCCTGTTGCCTCACAATGCCGTCCAAGCTGTTCAGTGTGCGGGAAGACCTTGAGCAAGTCACTCACTTCTTCTGAAAGAGCTATCGCCCCCCTGAGCCCTGGGCTGGGGCACACACCTTGTGCTGATGGGGCATGTGTGGAGGGTTGAGGGGAGGTCTTGCAGATGGAGGTGCCATCCTGAGTTTTTCCACTTTGCAGAGAGGGCAGCAAGGCTCTGACTTCCAAGGTCTGGCCTATGTGATGTGAGGAGTTGAGGAGGGAGTGCCCATCCTGTGTGGCCCCTCCAACGTCAATTTTCTCTTCACTCACTCAGTCACAGAAGCCAGTAGAACTGGACAGAAAGTTCTTCACCCAACCTTTTCCCAATCACAACTTCTTAACATGCAGCATTAGGAAATATTAAAGTCGACAGGCCCTGTAAATTTTATTTGTTCCAGGGTGAAGGTTGGGCAAATCGACAGCTTGTGTATCACTTCCCTTCCACCTTGCCCATGGCAGACATCATTAATGGATCATAAACTTTCTTGTTGAGCTTGGACTTGCTTCAGAATCTGTTCCCAGGCAGCCACTTCTGATCAATCTCAGTTGACACTTGAGGTCAAACTCAGTCATCCATGCTGCCCATCCCCAGAAAGACCAACTCTGCTCTGAAGTCAGTTCAGGGAAGTTTTCATTTAGAGGAGAGAAAGGAAGCCAGTCAATAGAGCTTTATTAGTAAGCACTTTACTACTGTGGGCCACTGGAGTGCAATCCTCTGGGGTTGGTAGAACATGCCTCGTGAGATGCTGTGAAAATTCATTGAGATGGTCACAGTATCTGACATAGAAGGGTAATAAGTCTTTATTGTTATTTTGTGTTAGATGTGACCACATTTAACCCTCACAACCACAGGACTCAGAGAGGTTGGGTAACTGCCTGACAGTCCCACAGCTGGGTAGTAGCCATACTCTTAATCAGCCCAATATCATTCCTCAGCAGTAATAATAATAACTGACATTTATTGAGCATTTACTACAGGTAAATATAGGACAGGTACTGTTCAAAAGGCCTTATATGTTCTAAAGTCTTTACTTTTAATTCTCACACCAGTTCTAAGACGTGGATACTAACATTATCCCAATCTGCTAGACGAGGAAACTGAAACCCAGAGAGGCAGAGAGAGGTATCTCGATGATTCGATGATTCGTTGTGCGGCTGGGATTCAAATCCAGGAAGAAGCCTGGCAGCAAAGCCTATTCCCCCCCCACCCCGCCTTTTTCCTTCATTTTAAATAGTCTGTTTTCAATCAGCACACTGTCTTGGCTCTCTGAAGGTACCTAATGCCCAATAATTGTGGCCTATTATTATTACCATCATCACTATTATAGGCGACAAGCTGGAGGCTTAGAAAGAAAGGGCATGTTGACTGGAGAGCAGGACAGACTAAAAGCAGACTTCAGGTGTGGGGGTGGCAAATGGTCCTATGGCTCACTGGGGAAGGGGTTGATAGCTCCTCTAGGGGACTGGAGGAGCAGCATCCTTTTTTGGAAAGAATTCCATTGAGGTAGGGGAGAATAAACAGAGACGGGGCTGCCAGAGCTGAACCCTTGGTTGACACAGCCAGGAAATGTGGACTCTAGAACTGGACCAACATGGGTTCTCTCCTCATTCCTAGCGTGGCCCTGGGCAAGAGATTCAACCTTTCGGAGCCTCAGTTTCCACATTTATAAAATGGGGATAAATGGTTGGTGCTTGAATTCCCTGGTGGGAAGGGGACAAGGCCTGGCAGTGGAGCCTCTGGATTCTCAGAGAGGCTGGAGACAGCCGTCAATGCCCTGCAGTGCTCTTCATGCCCACCATCTGTGGTCCCAGTGCTAACACAGGTGCTGTTGGGCGCCCCCGTGGAGCTGCGGGAGGAGGGCAGGTCCTTGGTGAAGATGTGCACTCTTGTGGAGCTGCTGCTGGGTTGGCCCCAGGGCTCAGTCAGACTCAACCTGGTGAAGGCTGCAGGGACATCTGCCCTCCTGCTCTTATCTCACCGTCCCTGTCTCAGTGGCTCTTAGGAAAGGCTCCGCTGGACTCGTCCCCACTGCAGTGTGAGTGGCTGAGAGCAGCACAGACTAGGTACAGAGTTTTAGGCTGAAGGGCCATGGTGCTAATGGCGGGAAGATGGCACCAGCAGGCCCACAGGGAGCTATACTTCTAGGCAGATCACAGGAAATTCCAGAGGGAGCTGGGTGCCAGTGAGGACCCGGTGGGGTGGGCAACTCCTGGGAGCCCCTCTTTGCCTCCACTGACCCTCCCTTGCAGGACCTGGTCCTCCAAGCTTGTGGTTTATGGATGCAAACTCATGGTCACTGTGGACATGGAGAGGCAAGCAGGGATGGCCTTGGGGCCGTTGGTCCCCAGACCTGCCTCCAGCTGCCCTTTCACTGCCCAAGTCCTAGGAAGCTGGGACTCAAGAGGAGCCAAACACTCCTCCAAACCTTCTGAGAAAGGGAGACCTTCCCCATCCACACTGCAAGGTATAGATGCCTTAAGGATGGAGGTTCCTGACCTGATGCCACTTGCGGGGTTTGGGGAGGGGTGCTCTGGGTCCTTCTGTGGCTTAGGAGCACAGGCTTTGGCACCTAACAGATCTGGGTCCAAATCCTAAGTTGCTGTGTGACGTGGGCAGGTTACTGCCCCTCTGTGGGCCTCAGGGACCCCATCTGTCCAACGGGGGAAAGTGGAGGCACCGACCTCCTGGGGTGAGGACATGAGGCAGGAGACAGATTTGGCACATCCCAGTTGCCCAGGGCGCCACCTGTTACTGTTGTTACCAGGAGGCTGCTGTCTGTCTGTCCCTCTGTCCCCTTGGGGATGGCTCCACGTTGAGCAGGGCCAGAGCTCACTTGCTCCAGTGCCTCTGGTCACGTTGGTGGAAACCGAGGCTCACTCAGAGAGGCTGGGATCTGCCCTCAGTCACACAGGGAGTGGTGCTTGGGCCCCTGCCCCAGGCTTTTCTGAGACAGCTCCTCACTGGAGAGGGTGACACAGGGAAGGGCCCCCCTAAAAGGGCCTCCAGACTCAGTGAGCCTTTCTGGTGAGAACGCGGAGGGCAGAACCTGGACCTGGTGCCCCTCAGAAATTGGCTAAATTCCCTAGCTAGTGAGGAGAAAGGAGGGGTATTTAGCGAGTTACGAGAAGGGTGGCAGGTGTGGGCAGACCTCAGCCTCCCTGAAGGCAGCTGGCAGGGAACCCCCCTCCCGCCCCCGGAGGTGGAGCCCATAGACTCTCAACAGAAGGCTCCAATTCTTTTACAAAATTAGCATAGTTTTCACCTTTTACTTAATAATATAATTTAATATAAAAACAGTTAAAGTATTTACAGGTAAATCTCTTTACTTCCCCTGGTCCCCAAGTCTCTGTAGAGATTGTCACCCTCTCGCTCCTTCCTTCCTTGGGTGGCATCTGTGTGTGCCTTCTGCCCTGGCCCAGCTCTGTATAGGAGGGCGATCTGGGGTGAGGGTCGGGGTGCCAGGCCATGGTCCCTTA